ACCCCCCCAGGGTTATCGACACCCCCCGGGCCAGGACAGCGCGTAGAAAGGGGGGACAAAGGAATTAATAAATTAACTTTCCCCCGTCAGATTCCCCAAACGACGGCATTCCCGCGAAAAAAAAAGTCACCCGAGCTGCCAGCTTGCAACTTCGGTCTCTGACGTCGGCCTCGGGACCTCTCATTCAGCGTTTTTAAACACCTGCAAGGGAGCTTGTTCTTAGAAGGTAAAGAAAAAAAAATAAATCCACCAAAATCGTGGGTGAAGCAGTTTTATAATCGAGGGTAAATAAAGCCACAGGAACTGTGCTGTATTTACAACCCATCTCTCAGCAGTTGTTTTCTGCACAGCAGCACACGCAGCTCCGTATCCGGTTATTTAAGTGCTTGTTTAAAAAGAATAAAAGTGAGGGAATGCTTATTCTTTTCATTCATGATCTTCACCAAGCCCGTGCCTCCCGTGTTACTGGGGCAGGGAAGGCAGGAGGCACAGAATCGAGGCTTTTGTGAGAAAAGAGGAGAAGCAGAGCCAGAATCCAGGCCTCATCCCTCCCTCCGGCTCCTGGAGCAGGTTCAGCCTTTGCTCAGGAAAGCTCCAACAGCCTCAGCTTTTCACATTTTCCCCTAAAGATTTGCCATTTCTGTAACAACTCTCAGTTTAATGTCCTGGCTGTAAGACTGAACAACAATTTTTCTGCTTCCAAAGTACCTTCTTCCACCCCTTTGTACACGAACGACTTCAGGGTTAAACAGCGCAGCCCAGGACCAGTTCTCCCTCTGGTTAATGACTCTGGTTAATTGACTCCCTCCCGAAGGCACTGGCTTTCCCTCGGGCCAGTCAAAACTTTGTGGGGAACTACTAAAGGGCTGGAGCCTTCTGAAGGGAGGCTTTAATCCAGGCAGGAACACACACAGATTTGGGGCATCTCCCCTGACTCCCTTACTGTGTCATCAGGAGAGTTTCCAAACAGGTCTAGAGCAGGATGCATTTTATTACCTAGGAGTTCAGTAAAGTTATTGCCAGAAATCTTTTCATTTTTTAACCAAATTTTACTGAATCTTTAGAATTTTACCCAGGTGATGGCAGGCTTTGCCGTCTGCCAAGAAGAATCCGCTCGTCCTAGCAAAGATTGGAAGATCCATTTTCTCTTTTTATGTTTCAAACTAAGGATTTAAGTGGAATAAGCTCATAATGTGACAAAAGAAAACTCAGCCTCTTAAGTTTGCATCTTAATTTGGCTTTGTCAGCTCACAAGGAGCCTCTACCCAGTAAAACACAGAGGATGTGCTCTGGCTGTGGCTCTTTTAGGCAAGCACCAAACTTTTGAACCTCTCACTGATGGATTTTAAGAAGTTTCAGGTGGAATTTTCCCACCAGGAACATCCTCTGCTGTGGGGGAGGCTCCGGAGCTGATGGAGGAGGCAGGACACGGAGAGGAGGAGACAATAGCTCCCTTTGTACCAGATGTGGGGTTTTTTGTGTCCGAGGAAGGAACCACAGATAACCAGGGTACAGGGAGCTGAGGGTCAGCACAGCCCAGTCCTGTTTCCGGCAGAAAGGAAGCTGCAATTTGGGTTAAAATCTTCAGATAGTGAATAACTTGTTGGAACAGAACCTGCTCAGCTTCTGTGCTGGAATTCAGGGGATGTTTTGGAAAGGGACGGATGCAGTAAGTTTTAAGATTATCTTTTTAGTTGCTTTGGAGGTTTTTTTTGCAGACAAATTAATTCAGCAGTTTTTCTTTTAAATCGAAGCTCAAAATGTAAAAATCCCCACCAGAACCATTCAAATTTTGGGCTGAACGACCAAAAAAATAGCCATCTCCGTGAAACTCATTGCCATTCTTAAGAGTGAATCTAGTCAGTGTCCGTCTTGACTGCACAACTGCTGTGAAAAAGACTTCTGACCCAGAAGTAAGTAAAAATATGCACTTAAAAAAAAAACAACCACAAGAAAAATTCCACGTTTGAGCAATCCACAAATGTCTTGTTTTAACCCCAACACCTATCTGGGTTCCAGCATCTCTGGACCCAGATAAGGATTTCCTGCAGATCAACTCAAGGAATTAGTATTCTCCAAACGGCTAGAAGAAGTAAAATTAAACTTTATTTAAAAATTCTTCTAATATAGAAAACGAGAGGAAGCCGAGGCAACAAACAAAGTCCTGCCCCCCTGGTTCCATCTCCTGCCACGAGTTACTTGTATTTACAGCGCGGGGGAAGGAGCACGTCCTGCTACTGGGGGAGAGCTACCGACACGTAACGCTACAGCGTCCGAACCCGACAGAACATCCAAAGGGGCACAATTAAATACACTGGCTAAAGAGGGGACAGTAGAAGAGCACAGAAGGGTGTTCTTTTCATCCCAATTTCTCCTCTCCGACACCATTTTCCTCCTCGCTGGCTCCTGGCCTGCCGAACGTCAGGGAAAAAAAAAACAACCCCAAAACTATAGGAAAAAGGTTCATCCAGCTGGATGTGGAGAGGTCAGTAATTCTTTAAAGGAAAGCAGGACCCTACTGAACCCCTTCCAGCATCGTTTTACTTTCTGGAGAACTAGGAAAAACTGAATAAAATTAAAGCAGTGGCCACGGGCAGCGAAGCAACGGGAGGCCCTAACGTTTTCTCAGCTCCCGGTGTCACGGGGAGTGCAGGAAGGGGATGAAGTTCAGGATTTTTATTTTATTTAAAATTCCCCAGCTGCCAAATCTAGATTTTTTTTTTAATTTTTTTCTTTTTTTTTTTTTTTTACTGCGTTTGTGGGCCTTTCTGATGTTCACACTGTAGGAAATGAAATACAACAGGCAACCACTTCTCCAGACTGCATTCTCTATACACACACAAGTTTTTACACTATCTACAAAACAGTGATTAGATGCTCCTGGGTAAGTTCTTGCTACTCCTTTAAAAATACTAGAGAAAAAAAAAACTGTACACTTCTCTAAATTACATCTTTAGAAGAATAGTATTATTTTTTTTTTTTTTTAGAAGCTCATAAAAGACTTCGTGTTTGTTTCTAGAGAGAATTAAATGATTGGACAAGAAAGCTTAGAAATAGGTTGTTCAAATCAAATTAGAGAGACCGAGCACTTAAACAGAACATTCTCTGTAAACTTCTAGTTTTCTGTTCAACTTTACACACGCGTTGGAAAATTAGGAAGAACTTCAGTTGTGAGGTCCTTGTTTTAATCTCTGCTACATACAAAAGATACTGAAAAGCAAAAACTATTAAATAATTTAATATACAAGTGTAGTTAAAAAGCACTGTACATTGTAACAAATGTACATTGAATTTCAAGAGATAGAAAATCACCAAGTTATTTTCAAATTTACATGATTTTTTTTTTTTTTAATTTTTTTTTTAGGGGAGGGTAGGAAATTTTGGGATGGGAAGAGGACTCTGGGAAGGGAGCAGAGTTCTGAAGGCCACGGGGCTGCTCCACGCCGGGGACAAGCCCAGGTGAAGCTGCTGCTTCTCCAGGACGGGGAAATCCTGGAATATCCAATGGTTCCTGCTAAAACCTGGGCACGCCGAGGCCAGGAACGAGCAGGAGCCCTTTCCCTCAAGTACTTCCTTCCCTCCCAAGAACCGACCGGTAAAAGATCCGAGCTCCAAAGCAGCCTCTTCCACACACAAGCCAAAAAATTCCCACTGGGAATCTCTCCCTGTATCCCAAACCTCCAGCCCCGCGGGTCCCCCCATAAGGGCAGGAGAGGAACGGGTGCTGGTGGACACCTCTCTTCCTGCAAAATGCTTTTTCTTAAAAACTCAGCCCAAACCACAGCTCTCTAGAGTTGGGATTTTTTTTTTTTTAATTTTTTTTTTTTTTTTTTTTGCCCAGCATTTAAAGCCATTTATTACAGTTGCCACGGGCATGGAATCAGTTAAATAACAGCCTCAGATTGGGTGAAGAAAAGACCAAAAAAAGAGAATGCCTGGGTTATCTGACGGGGACTGCAGCAGACTTTAAAGTCCATCTTTTTTCAGTTAAAAAATCATTCCCCAGGTGCTAAAAGCACCCTCAGGATGGTGGCCGTTGCCCTTGGGTGCTTAAAACCAGGTACCAAGTTCTTGCAACTCGGTGACTTAGGGAGGGAACAGCCAGAGAGAGAGAGATTCTGCCTCCTACACACACACACCCCCCAAAAAATGGAGAAAGATTTAAGAAATAGTCCATGGGATATTGATATTCCCGTGGCAGGATCTACCTCCTCGTTCCCAATCAAAATCCGAGCAGGAGGGAGCTGCTGAGCTGAGGGGGTTGTTCTGTTCTCCCTGTTTTTGGTACCTCCAAACACCCCCTGCTCCAGCTCACAAACTTCTTTCCTATTTATTTTTTTGAGTTTTAAGGGAGACTTTCAACAGCACCGAATTCTTTCCTTGCCAACCCAGCAATGAGCCTCTCTCCCTGCAGCACCATCGAGGCCGTGTTTTCCCTGCAGATCTAACGAGGCCGAAAATTTACTCTTCTGTAGGGAAAAACGGCCGAGAACCGGGTCTAAACGGGCGTCGTGTGACCAGCAGAGAAAAGAGAAAATCCTATTTTGGTAACTGGACAAGCATTTGTCCCCTTAATATCATCACTCAGTGGTAAAAATCGAGGCCTTTGAATTACAAACAGCCACGTGTCTCCATGAGCTGTTGCCAGAGGAGGGACAATCTGGAAAAGAATGGCCATTAGAGGCACATTTCACAGTTTTCCTTCTGCGACAAAAAGCTCTAAAGGTTTAGGGGGGGGGCAAATTTTCCCCTAAAATATTCTCCTCCTCCTCCCTCAGAAAAAGAAGCGATGGCAGAAAGCCCTACACAAGTTCTTTTTTTTTAACAGATTCTTTTTTCCCCTCCCCATTTTTTGAAGCTGGGAGATAAATATGCAGAGGTACCCAGAGAGGAAAAAACACCTTTATTCAACCCCGTGAATAAAGCTTTACAGGGCACGGATCCTGGCTATGAAGCTGCTGACGCTCCACGGGATGAACGACTCCTGGAACTGGTTTGTGAGGAACAAACTTTGGGGCTCGTCTCCCCTCCCGGCCCCGAGAGAGCCCCAGAGGCAAACACAGGGAGAACTCACTGCCCAAGAGTTTAAAAAAAATAAAAGACCAAAAAAAACTGAGCTGGAACAGCAAAACTAACAGAGAAAAGTTTGGAAAACGTGAAGTTTTTTTTTGTTTGCCAAGGGCAAGACTAGAGTTTAGTTTTTATCATAAGCCTCCGGCTTATGTCGAACCTGGGTTTTAACCACCTGGATTCACTCTGACTTCAATCACTTGTAAAAATCATGTTTTTAAGGCACAGCTGCTGCCTTCCCTCGGCGAGGCTGCAGGAGGGATGCAAAAACGCCATTTCCTGGTTGTTTGTGCCACGGGGCAAAGGAGGATGAGGAGTTTCCCCCCTTTTCCCTACAAAGGGAAGCAGAGGAGCTGGAGAGAACTGTGGCTCTGCCTCCCCCCGTGCAGGACAGGCCACCAAGGAGATGGAAGGAAGACCCTCCCAGGGACAAAGAGGTGGCACATTGTGACACACTCAGGGATCTGGGACACAGAACCCGCTCCTCTGCCTGGAGGGGACCCCCCGAGGACACAAACACCCCCCTGGCTGTGAACACCCAGCCCGTCAGAACTCAAATCTCCCCAATCTCATCCTTACCTGCACCACGGGGCTGACCAGCACCGAACACACAAGAAGAATATTACCTCAGAACCTCAATTTAGAACTTTAGGGGCACCCTACGATCAAATCATCGTTTAAGCCAATTAGTCCCGGGAGTGGAAGGGTGTGGAAAATATGAAAATTGGGCTGGAATGGTACTTGGGGGAAGGTTGAAGTTGTTTGGAATCCAATTGGTGTTCAGAACTGCACGAGTCCTCTTCGGTTCCTGCGACAGGTTTGTTTTTTTTTTTTAAAAAGTAGGTATCTAAGAATCGAAGGAACAAGCGTCCTTTGGACTAACCCTTAATTCTCAGCGAGAGGAAAGCAGATTAAAACCAGCAGGTATATACACACTAGCTGTATATTCACACACAGGTAAAAGCAGCTTAAAATGCCCTTCTCACTTCTTTGCAAGTCTATGAAATGTACGTTGTCTCTCTGCAATCTGTTTCCTACAAGGCCCTCGCTAGAAGAGGAATTTGCTGCCTTTTCTTTGAAGAAAAGATTTTTGCGTGAATTTTTTTTCCTCTTTTTTTGGCATTTCTCTTTTTTTTTTTTTTTTTCCTCTTTCTTTCTTTTTTTAAACACACTGTCCTGATAGTTAATTCTGTTTCACAGGAGACTGGCCAGGCTGGTGGTGGGTCCGTTCTGTGCCTGGAACTGTACAGGAGGTGGTCCATCTGTCCACTGCAAGATAACAAACAGCATGAAAATCCCACAGCTGCCACCGGGGAGGGGAGAGGAGGAGGAGGAAGAGGAACACGGCAGCGAGGCCGGAGGAAGGAGCTCGCCCTCCAGACGTTCACTTCCTCCTGATGAAATCTTTTTTAATTAGCTCAAGAAGTTGCCTATCAGGTTTGACTCTGCTTCACGTGCTCGGAGCTCCCGGCCCTTGAGGATCTTTGGAATCCGCGTGCCCGGCGGTCCAGACCCCGCTCCGGAAAATCCAGGGAAAGCACTGGAAACCTCCCACCCTCCCAACAGGGAAAACCAGGACAAACCCTGACTTTAGATGGGTCTGAGCCCATTAAACGCTGCAGCTCCAGCCTTTCCAGAAGCAAGTACAGCCTCTGGTTCTCACCCTTTTCACTACTCGAGTGTTTTCCTCTTAAATTAATAAAAATCTTCTAAAATGGGCAAATTGAATATTTGTTTCTTAATCCTCCTCCCCCTCCAGATTTTTAATCCATCACAGATTACACAAAAGCCAGGGATGGTGAGCAGAGACAGGGCTGGTGGAAGCACTGGCCCAAGTCTCAGGATCCCTTTGGGAGTAAAAGCAGGAAATAACATCTTCCCATCGGCCTTTTTCCCCTCTTTTCTGCTCCCTGAAAGGGATTGTTGGGAACAGCATCTCAATTTCCTCACATCTCACATTCCCATTTGGGCATTTTCTATCCAGAACATTAAATTATCTCGAGTTGCAGCTCGGAAACCAGTCTGTAGTTTTAAAACAGTGTTAAAAATATTTCTGACAAGAGGGACATCGATATTTGAAGTCCAAAGAAAGTTGCACCTTAAGGCAATGGCTCCACAGACCTCAAATGATGTATTAACTGGCAACTCAGATTTATAGATAAGTGGAAAAAAACCTTAGGAAAGCTAAAATATCGATAGAAACTGGCTCGGAAACCAGTCTGTAGTTTCAAAACAGTGTTAAAAATATTTTTGACAAGAGGGACATCGATATTTGAAGTCCAAAGAAAGTTGCACCTTAAGGCAATGGCTCCACAGACCTCAAATGATGTATTAACTGGCAACTCAGATTTATAGATAAGTGGAAAAAAACCTTAGGAAAGCTAAAATATCGATAGAAACTGTACTTTTAGCAGTGTTCAACTATACATTCCCCAGAACAAGGCAGGACCTAAACATTAAAACTTGAGAACATGGTAAGGTTCTTCCAAAAGTAACGGTTGTCACCACAATGAAGTGGCTTCTCCTACAAAAACCCATTTAAAACACATAAATTCTGGTGTACCAAGAAAATGCTTCTAAGACAGACCATACCCACCAAATATATAATTCACTTTTATAGAGTGAGTCACGCTCACCTCCTTTCCCTGTTATCAGCCCTGTTTAAATACAGGGAACTAGCCCGAATTTTGGCAACTCGCTGAGAAGTGTGCTCAGGAGAAGGAAAGGAAAGGAAAGCACCTTGTTTTGCCTCAATAACTCTTGTAACTGTGGGATGAGGATTCTTACCGTGATGAGGTTGTGTTCTGGCAGGCTGCACGCCTCGATGTGGTCCTGCAGGAGCTGCTGGGAGAAGTTCTGATGCATCTGCGCCGCCTCGTGCGCGTCCATGGCGTTCCCGCAGGCTTTGTTCAGGTCTGGAAGAGAAGAGCAGCCTGTGCTCACCCAGAAAAACCTGGGGACTTCTTATTTTCAACTGCACCCCCCCTCATCGGAAAAGATCCTTCCCTACGTCCAAGGAACCTCCACATCTGAGGAACCCCCACGGCCAAGGAACCCCCACGGCCAAGGACTGACTCAATTCAACAGCCAAAACACCCAAGTCACATCCTGCCAAGTGAAAACCACCAAGAGAAGCAGCAGCACAAGGGGAAGCTGAACCCTCCCCTTTTCCAACGCCATTGGCAGAGCACATTGCAGGATTTGCTGTCATTTCACTTCCCAACTATTAAAAAAATAACATTATAGTAGCTCTAAAAGAAAAAAATCAAACTCCTCGCCTCCTATAAAAGCCCCCGCGCAGTTTGGGTTTAGATTTTGAGGTTTCAGCACCATCTAGTGGGAACGGGGAAGACCCGCAGGTTCCTCCCGGCAGCCCCAGGGTTCAGCAGCACAAGTTTTGGAGATCAAGCAACTTCTTTTTTTAGGCGAATCCCTTGCTTTTGGGGTTCTTCAGAAGCCTGCTGCTTCGCAGACACTCTGAGCTGACCCGAGTGCCTCGTTTTCCCTGAGCTTTACCCACAGGTATTCGCTCAATTAGATTTAAGACCTGTAACCTATTAAAAAAATCACACTATTTCAGCTATAAATTCCAAGCAGCGCAGCGTGGCAGGCGCTGAGAGGCTCCACTTCCCGTCCACGGACACGTGGCTGGGTTTTATTATCCCTCATCAAGCACCTTTTCTTCAAGAGCAGGTAATTAATTCTAGAGAGGAAGCTCTTAGGAGAAAATAAAATAAATCAAAGCAGAAGGGATGCTGCCTCTCGCTGTTCCTGGGGCTGGGGGATGCGACCGGAGGCGAGAGCGGCAGAGCCCGGGGCAGAGTTTTCATCCCATCACTGAGCTATCGGAGGGTTTTGGAGGAGAACTATCACTTGGAAAACGAGTAAGAAAATTATTTCAATTGCCTGGAAGGGCTTTAGTAGGGAAGGCAACAGGAAAGTGGAAAAATCAGCCCGGCCCCCAGCGCGGAGCAGCGTGGTTATAGTAAACATGACAATTTAATATACATCGAAGCTGCAGGATAAATTCTTGGAATAAATTAAAAAAATAAAAAAAAAAAAAGGAGAATGTTACTGCTCTATTTTCCAGTGAGAGCAAATCAATGGCAGCATTAACGTTGGTGGTCTGCCAAGAAGGGAGTCAATATTTGAACAAAGCATCCTGGGGCCGGCGTAAGTCGGATTAAACAATATTTACGTATGAAGTGATATAATTAAAGCCCATACAGGGAAGAAAAGCTTAATCAAATGTTTACTACAGTAGGAACTGCAGTGAAAGAAAAGCAGAGAGGCAGCAAAGGAGATGCTGGAGGATCCCAGAACCAGTAACAGGAAGAACCATCCTGCAGCTCTACTGGTATTTCCCAAAGCCCAGCAACCTCCCAGAGAGTCCTGGCCCTGACACACGTCCCTGTTCTCACAGAATCACATGGGGCTGGAAGGGACCTCTGGAGATCATCTCCTCCAACCCCCTGCCAGAGCAGGTCCCACAGGAACGTGTCCAGGTGGGGTTTGAATGTCTCCAGAGAAGGAGACTCCACCACCTCCCTGGGCAGCCTCTGCCAGGGCTCTGCCACCCTCACAGTGAAGAAGTTCCTCCTCATGTTGAGGTGGAACTTCTTATGTTCAAGTTTGTGCCCGTTTCCTCTTGTCCTGTCCCTGGGCACCACTGAAAAAAGACCGGCCCCATCCTCCTGACACCCACCCTTGAAGGATTTATAGATGCTGATCAGAACCCCCCCTCAGTTTTCTCTTCTCCAGACTGAAAAGCCTCAAGTCCCTCAGCCTTTCCTCATCAGAGAGATGTTCTAGTCCTCTCATCATCTCTGTAGCCCTTTGCTGTCCCCTCTCCAGCAGTTCCCTGTCCTTCTGGAACTGGGGAGCCCAGAACTGGTCCCAGTGCTCCAGATGGGGCCTCCCCAGGGCAGAGCAGAGGGGCAGGATGACCTCCCTCCACCTGCTGCTCACACTCTTCCTGATGCCCCCCAGGATGCCATTGGCCTTCTTGGCCACAAGGGCCCATTGCTGGCTCATGGCCATCCTGTTGTCCACCAGGACTCCCAGGTCTTTCTCCTCAGAGCTGCTCTCCAGCAGGTCAGCCCCCAACCTGTCCTGGTGCAGGGGGTTATTCCTCCCCAGGTGCAGGACCTGACACTTGCCCCTCTCAACCCCCAGTTGGTAACAAGAGGCTTTTTGCTCCTTTTTTTAAAGAATCAGACCATTTCCTAACTCACCTCTCAGCAGAGCCGAGGACCAGAGCTGCACAGACATGTCTGGGATCTTGCTCGCGAGCTGCATGGCCGGTACCACCATGTTATTACTTTCCTGGTGAAGGGCAGATATCAACATAAAATTAATATTTTCCCCCAATATCAACATAAAATTATTATTTCCCACCCCTTGCAAACACATATTACATAGAGATACTAAATTTGTGATGAAAAATTCATCTACTTTAATTGCTGCCCTGTTCTAGGTAACAAGAGGAAGAGCTTAATGGGACAGTAATGTAAATAAAATCACCTAAAGCTGCACAGAATTTTGCTCCATCCCAGGAATTATGTTCATTCTTTTGGGCAAGATAATGGAAATATTTCATATGGTGAGAATTAAGGAGCTTGTGCCCACAATTCCTTCCCAAACTATCCAGTTGATTACTGATTTTGATGTGATTTGTCATTTATTCAGCTTTTTTTTAAAAAATTCAGGCATTACAGAAACACACACATCCAGAACAGAACTTCAACCACCACCACTTAGTGAAAATATTATTAAACACGCCAATTACAGCTGCAGAATTACTCAAGCCAATGAGCTGCCAACTTTTAGCAGGATATCATTAAACAAGCGTTCTTAAAATCAGGTAAATTACAGCTGCATCAATGAGCTGCCAACTTTTAGCAGAGTATCATTAAACAAGCGTTCTTAAAATCAGGTTAATTTCCCCAGATGTCCTGATTTTCTTTGGCAAATGCCAAGTTGGACACGGTCCCACCTGCAAAGACTTACCCTGTGGTTCCCCAACACGTAGAATATGTGACCCAGGAGCACGAGGGAACACGCCGTCAACCGGTTCAAGTCTTCAGCATTGGACATTTTCAGCGTCTCTCGCAGAAATCGCCTACCAAAACAGCAAAAAATAGAGCCTTTTAAAAAACTCTTACTTTCCCTCCAGCGTAAGAAACATCCCTGAGAGGTGAATTAATCCAATTGGCAAATATTAGCGCTCGGGAATAAACGTGAGCTGCAGGTGACCTTAAACAAAGCACTTCGTTCCCAAAGCTCAGCTTTTATTCAGCAAAAATGACTATAATTGAGCTTTGAAAGGCTTTTGTTTTGGATGCGCAGAGGCACAACTATCACTGTTGTTATTACTCAGAACTACAGAGATCCAAACCCAGCAGCTTCCTGGTATTTTTCCCTCAAGTTAAACAGAAGGTGGAGCGAATCCACGGGGAGAAGAGCTGGCGGGTTTGAAAGCAAGGCCTCAGGGGTTTCATTTTTCCTCTTAAAAAGCTCAATTTTAGCGTCTCGGGTCTTTTTTCCTCCCCACCTTCCAAGTGCAGTGATTTGTACTCACTTGGCCTCGTTGTATCTTCCTTGAAAGAAGGAGAACAGGCCTCGGATGTAGAAAGCGGCCGCTCGAAGGCAGTGGGAGCTACAGGACAAAACAGGGCATTGAAATCCCAGCATCACAGGGACCACGCACGTTACAGACAGTATTTCTAGGAATTTGCCCAATAATCAACTCTCCAAAACAAAACACTACATTTAACGCCCGGGCAGAACTTTCTGCCTTGAAAAGAAGTCGATTATTTTGTTTGCTTTTTTAAAAAAGCCAGCTACAAACCCCAATGTTACCATCCCCACACCAGCACAGCAATGGTTTCTGGAATTCTCACCTCACAGGGAAATTATGGTCCGGATTTATCCTTTCCAATAAGCTGTAAAGCTACAAAGTGGGAGGAAAAAATGAAGAGAATCAGTGTTTCTCCCAAATAAAGCTTTATGGTACTGACAGCAAGTGCTTTTACAGGAAACACACATCAAACCAAACTGGTGCAAGTCACCACTAACCCACCCAAGTTTACTTGTGCTGGTTAAATCATAGCACAAATATTCCAATATTTCAGGAGTTTTCCTGCTCGTTTTGATTCTAAAAATCACGTTTTATACAAAATATGCATCCTCAGACTTTATAGAACTTTCTATACCACGTTAATATTTCTTCAGAAAACTTTCAGCCGCCGTATCCAACCCAGCTGTTTGAGACCCAAACGAACGCGGCACCAGATTAGCTAGTTAATTAAGACCAGAAATCAACTAAGCAAAAAAAAAAAAAAGCAGGCAACTTTTTTTATTATTATTATTTTTTGCTCTCTACGCTTTTTGACAAAATACTGTGCGCTTGGTGAAAAAAAGTTCATTTACAGCCTCTGCACAAGAAACCTCCAAGCTCAGCTCTGAAGTCACTGAAATAACACACACAGTTGAATTTTCCTATTAATATTGCATATTAACATTGCATATTAACACTTCACACTGGGAATTCTGCCCTCCCAGGGCTGCAGAGAATTCTCTGTACGATCCACACCCACTCTGCAGTTAGACCAGCTCCTACCACTGGTTATTTACCATTAATTGACACTACCCTAATTAAGGAGTCGCCTGGGCTGCCAGACAAGGCATCGCTTTGCAAAAATACTCAGGAAAAAAAAGAATAATCCAAGCACAGCAGCAGTTTTCTCCCCAAAAAAGCTCTGATTTTTAGAAGAGTCAGAAAGGAGCTCACCTCTTGATGCCGGTTGCCTTCCCTGATGTACACGCTGGCCAGGTTTGTCACGATAAATGCCCACAGCTCCTGATGTGTAGTGAGCTAAAAAGAACCAAAATACCAACAGCACAGTCAAATACTTCAGCATCTAACCCAGAATCTGCTCAGCCCGTATAAATCACAGATGGGGCATCTGCTGCTGATAAATCCTCCTGACCCGAATTGTGATCAGTGTAGGGAAAAAAAATGAGCTAATGCAACTAATATGGATGATTTCCCCATTTCCCTGACAGCCTCAGCTGTCGAGTGACCCACACGACGACCGCAACGAGCCCGTTCCCACCTCGAACACCCAAAAAAAGCTCTGATTTTTAGAAGAGTCAGAAAGGAGCTCACCTCTTGATGCCGGTTGCCTTCCCTGATGTACACGCTGGCCAGGTTTGTCACGATAAATGCCCACAGCTCCTGATGTGTAGTGAGCTAAAAAGAACCAAAATACCAACAGCACAGTCAAATACTTCAGCATCTAACCCAGAATCTGCTCAGCCCGTATAAATCACAGATGGGGCATCTGCTGCTGATAAATCCTCCTGACCCGAATTGTGATCAGTGTAGGGAAAAAAAATGAGCTAATGCAACTAATATGGATGATTTCCCCATTTCCCTGACAGCCTCAGCTGTCGAGTGACCCACACGACGACCGCAACGAGCCCGTTCCCACCTCGAACACGCACAGTAAATAGTTTGGGAAGAAAAATCTTACCCTCAGTGCTGTAGTAAATTGTGCTTCTGCGTTGTCCATGCAATTAACAGAAATGCAGTAGAGCCCCTGCAAGAAAACAGGGTATTTCTAAGGTAAGGCATCATTATAGTGAGCTGAGAATGTGAAGAAAGGCGTGCACAAAACCACTGAAATCTCAGGATTAGCAGGAAAAATGGTAACCAACAAGTCTTACTTTTGCTCAGCTCTGGGAAAAACAAACAATTTCTACATCAAGTCCTTCAAAATAATAGGCTCCTGTAAAAAACGCCCCATTTATCTAAAAACCCCTCTTAATTTCTTATAAATCTCAAAGAGCAATGCTATATAAGTTCTCCTCCTTATGCAGGTGCCGCAACACACTGTCTCCAAGGTGTGCAGTACGAATCTCACGTATTTACCTTGTGTAAATAGCATATTGTGTTACATATCACTTATTTTAAAAAGGGATTTAAACCTTTGACAGGCTGCAGTAACACAGGCCCCGGTACCCAGCAGGAAATCTCCCCCATCTGCATCACTCCCCGCTCCTCGGGGTCTTCCGAAGGCTCCCAAGTTTATTCCTAAATCCCAACGACTTACTAATAGTGTGTGCAGCTGCGCAGCGTGGTTGGAGAAGAGCCTGGGGGACTGCTGGCAGAGCTGACAGACTTGTGAAATCTGTTAAAAAAAAAAAATAAAATATTTTAAGATACTTTTTTTTTCCTTCTTCCATCTCCTGGCGTCACAGGCGTCGCCCGGTGCGTTTGGGTGACTGGTTTGTGCTGGGAGGTGACAGCGGAGGCCGGAGCTGCCCGAAGCCAAGGCACAGACACACACTCCCAACACACTCCTCCCACACAAAGGCACGCTCAAACCGGTTTGGAAGGGTTGGTTCTGCAGCAGCTCCACCATATGGTGGCACCACCTGCAAAGCAGAGAGTCCCAGATCTCTCCTGACACGCTCAGGATCCGGGTTGGCACCGAACGGGGAAAACGGAATCAAAAACTCTTCCCCGGGGTACGTGCTCATGAGGAGTTTAGGAGCCAGAAGAGGTGACTATTCTCTTAGAGGGGCTAAATCTCCCCCCACTCCTCCCTGAGTCCATTCACAAAAAGGCTGAGATACATCAGCACGTCCTATAAATATGGGCTGGATGGACAGGAATTAAAAATGACTGGGAGAACGGAAAAAAGGACAGGTCTTCCTTGCAATAGAGAACACCATCGTCTCTTCCTTCCCCCCAAACTATAAGGAGGAAAGGACAGAAAGGCAGGAAACCTTAAAAAACAAGAAACACTGGGACAAGACAGGAACAGAGACAGGAAGAGTTAAAACCACTCGGTCATGGATCTGAGGGAGAGGGAAAAGACACCAGCGTCAGGCTGCGAAGTGCGGTCAGGAAAGTGTCCATTTAACCCACTGACCAATTACTGTTGACTCCAGGAGCAACTCCAAAGTGTTCTTAATTAAAATATTTCAGAGGATGCCAATTGCACAGCTTCAGAGCTGCAGCACCCTGTTATATCTGACATATTTGTTCGTTCCAGCAGCCTGCTCTGCTGCGATCCCCATCTCAGCCCGAGGATCTTCCTCAAAACTCAAATTCCCGTGTTATAAAAGTCACAGCTGCAGAAATCCCCAACCAGGGAAACGATTGAAACCCCATTTTTTTTTTTAATTTTACCTCCTGCAACGCTGTGGCTTTGTGTCCCGTGACGAGCCGGCACATGATGATGTGTTCCAACAAAATCACTTGGAAAGACGACAGGATGGGACTGCAGTCCAGCACTGGGGGGGCAGGAAATAATTCAGTAAGTGATGTGAAGGCAACAAGAACGTCCCAACCACGCGGTGCCCCTCGTGCCCAGCAGCTTCTGCAACTCCAGAAGCTTTGGGAGGAGTTCAATATAAAGATTCCTTTGTGGAAATCTAGAGAGTGATGGCTTTGGCTGGATCAACTGGTGTCGGAGGAGTCAGTGCCCTGCCCAGCTCCTCTGCCGTACACCATGGGGAGGGTAGCACAGGTTTAAATCAAAAAAACAAACCAAAACAAACCAAAAAAACCCCCAAGCTCCACCCAAACTATGATGCCTGAACTGTCAGGAGCTGGAGTCTGCGCATCAGTTAAGGAAAAACACGCTTATTTTAGAGAATCAAAAGTCTGGAAAACCAAATGTGTGGACAATCAGAAAGGCAGCATGAAAACGCCTGTATTTACAGCCCAATTCACTGAGTTACAATAAAAACCCCCCAAAAACTTGGTTTCTGTATTCAAAGTAACTCTCCAGTTTTAAAACAGAGCGAAGTTGGGATTGGAACAAGATAATCCTTAAGGTCCCTTCCAGCCCAAACCACTCCACGATCCGTACCTGCAGAAGGAGCAGCCTGAGCGGGCGGTCCCAGGGAGCCAAACAAAGTTGCTGTGGTTTTGGTTTGTATTTTTAATTTAAATTAGCAACAAGCAATGGAATCTCGCAGCGTAAGCGAAACGATAATCCTTAGCCTTACTTTTTAGCTTCTCCAGCTGCATGAGGGCTTTGTCTGTGTACTTCTGAGCCTTCTCCAGGTATCCCGCCTGCATGGAATGCATCACCGTCACCTGCCGGGGAACACAGGCAATTATTAGAGAAAATTATCTTTGCAAAGAGGAAAGGGCTGGGATTTCACACAACTCCTCAGCTCCCAGCCTCCTGAACTAACTTTTGACATCATTTAGGAGTATAATCGCATTCAAGAAGTGGGGCAACTGGTTTCAGGACTTTGAAGTCACCCTTGTTGGTAAAAAGAAGGCAACAGGGCTCTTGGCAGGAGTTAACCCGATGCCGTTTGGCTCAGATCTGAATAAGTTACATTCCAGTTTCCCCGACTTCTCGCAGAGTCTCTTCAAACACTGACATCACCCAAAGCAACAGTCTCACAGATGCTGTGGCAGAATTAAACTGTCAGCGTAACGTAAAGCAGCATATGCCCTGCAGAATCCACGGCTGCTGGCTCCCAGTGATATATATTTTATTTTTTTTTAACCAATTCCTCATTAATTAACGATACGCGCCAAGCGAAAAAAAAAGCTCCTCACCAAGTAGACGAGGACACACATGTGCTCCTTGGGCAGCCAGTGGAAGAGGTCGGCGGGGTTGCTGGGCAGGATTTCGTCGTCGTGCAGGGTGGAGATGGTCTGGATGCACTGCTGGAGCTGCTTCAGGCACGGCTTCACGCTCTTCACCTGCGGAAAAACCATCCCCATCAGCCATCGCCGCCGCCGCCCAGACGCCCGAGCGTCGACTTCGGTGAGAAAACCTCACCAGGCAGTAAAAAAAAATCCCCACGTTCAGGAAATGAGCTCGTGCATAAATCACAACTCCAGCACGACAGAACAGTCACTGCTTCAGGCCCAGTTCCAGGATCAACGACAAGCTCTTCAAATTTGCAAATGCGACCAACAGACGCTCAAAATGCTTTTCAAAATTATACCAAAAGCTTGTTATCTCCACCAACGTTGATAGAGAATCATAAAATCACAGAATTGTCTGGGTTGGAAGGGACTTTTCAGATCATCTAGTCCAACAATCACCCTAACTCTGATAAAGCATCACTACACCATGTCACTAAGCACTATGTCAACCCAGCTTTTAAATCCCTCCAGGGATGGTGCCTCAACCACCTCCCTGGGCAGCCCATTCCAAGGCTTAATAACCCTTTCAGTATCAAAATTTTTTCCTAATATCCCATCTGAACCTCCCCTGGGGCAACTTGAGGCCATCAAGTTGCCATATAGAAACAAGAGTGGCCAACGATGGTTATGAGCACAGTAAACATTTCCTCGAGGAAGAAATGAATGCAATTTCTTCACCCCTCATTTCATTTGTATTAAAAATCTATAGAAATGAAGTTTCATTAACAAAAAGCATAGCGCAGCAAAGAAAAAAAATCTCTCAAAAATCACCCTCAGCGTAATAATTAGCTCCTTTTTCCCCCCAGTTCTCACCAGAGGGGAACTGGGACGTACCTGCCCCGCATCCAGGTAATGTGTGACCTGCAGGACCAGGAAGAACACGCGCAACGACTCCTTCTGGATGGGGTTTCCTTGCCAGTTCTCCACTATCTGCCCGCAGAGAGTAAGGAGAGGGTGCACCTCCTGCAGCTTCCGTTCCATGAGAAGGAGCTGGAAATGAAAAAAAAAAAAATTAAAAAAAAAAAAAATCACTATTTTAGTGCTAAAACATTTCAAACAGAGAAGCACAGCAGAGCCCCAGGTACCCATTTTGGTGCTAAAACATTTTAAACAGAGAAGCACAGCAGAGCCCCAGGTACATTGATTTCTTTAAAACCAAAACCGGACCCAAAACATCTTATCGCAAAAGCAACAGGCTTTTCAAACGACTGGATTTTCCCTCCCTAATTCCAGGGGCTTCAGTGACAATCTGCAGTTATCCTTCTTCCTTCCAGAAAACTACTTGTCTTAATTAATAAAGGAGAAAAAAAAGCCAAACTCGTTCAGAAGAATTTCAGAAGGATCCTGCAGAGTTAAGGGTTATCCCGGATACATTTTAATAATTTGCTTGCTCCCACAAATAAAACAGAATATATAAAGCACAGATAAGCATGCAAAATAGAATTTCACAAGGATCCTGCAGATTTAAGGCTTATCCTGGATATATTTTAATAATTTGCTTGCTCCCACAAACAAAAGAGGATATATAAAGCACAGATAAGCATGCAAAATACCTTAAATAATCAATGTTCAGGCAAGCTACATTCTCTTGCTCTGTAACTTCCATTAAGCCAGTTAAAAAACCTGTTTATTTCAAAAGTACATTCAACTTACCATCCCCTTGCTTAGCAGAAACAGCGCTCTGAAATGAAACAAAACCCATGTCATACTCAAAAAAAGTTACTCAAAGCACAACTGTATATAAAAACCCTGAGGAAAAAAAAAATCTGCCCTTCTCCTCCCTCAAAGGCAATCAACAAACCTGCCAGAGAAAGCGCATTTAAAAGTTAAAGGGAATAGTTCAATCACAGCCCCAGGAATCCCAACCCCAGGCTTTCAGGTTTGTGTTCAAGCTTTAGACTGTTAAAACACTATTTAAGGCCAAACCAGGCACCTGGGGAAACCTGCTGATAAAGACAATAAACCCAGTTCAGTTTGAAAAAAGATCCTCTAGAGTCTTAGTGGACATTATTGGAGCTGGAGAAAGGCTCAGATCTAAGAAAACACTCAGAAATACCAGTTTGCCTTTAAAAGCCATGCAGCAATTACATCTCTATGTAAAACCTGATTATCCCTAAATAAAAAGTAGAAGAAACCAAAATATTTTCTGTGGGAAGAGGAAGAAGCCCAGGGAACTCACCTGGTGTACTCTGACCCTACCACCCGAGCGTATTCTGCTCCAACTCCGAGAAGGTCACATGCAGATACTAAATCTTTTTCAAGTGTATGTAGTTGCTGAAATTAAAAAAAAAAAAAAAGACCATAAAAGATTAGTGTTTCCTTTATGAACCCAATTAGGAATTTTTAAAAAATGTAATTACTCCTGTGCTTTCCATGTGACAAGGGCTAAAGTGGTACTTGTTAAATGGATCATCTGATTTTAGACGCATTTTCCAGGAATACCTGGCGCTCTCCAAAAAAACATAACATTTGAAAGAAGATGTCTCAGCCCGGTTTTGTACCACGCAAAGCCATTGGGATTCACCAAAATCAGATCCCAACAGCTCCAGAGTAACCACAGACTGTTACACTGGAGTAACTGGAACGACAGAGCGTGCTTTCCAGCAAGAAGAGCAGAGAGAGTCTCTCAGAGCATCTCACTCTCTCCTGCTGTGACTTTTCTACCTTCTCCCAACTCAGGTAGAAAAATCACAGGGTTATAAGAACAGGCACCAAGAGAATGAGACACACAGGGCTCTGTGGTCAAGGAAAAGCCGGAGAGAAAGCAGCAAAGAATGTCAAGCTTCGAGGAAGGACTGGAGAAAAACGTTTAAGCTTCTTCTGAGTGCTCAGGCATTAACTCATTGCAAAGTAAACATTTGTCCTTTAATCGATAGGAAAGTCAGGCTGTCCACAAGCCACCACTCCTAAACTACACAAAGGAGCTCAGCAATCCCTTTTAAAGGGAGCTGTCTGCTTGTTTAAGCTCATCAGGAAGGGGGAAAAGACAAGTACAGGTGACTATTAAGACAGTCTTCAAAGATAAAATTGGTTCCTAACTAGCTCTCTGCTGCAGAGGAGCTGTAAAGAGCAATTAAATCCCTCAGCTCCCGCGTTAAACACCTCGAGGCTCTTTAGGAGCAGGGAAGAGGCATAACCTGGAAAAAACAGGGGGAGTTCTTCAGCAATAATCTGCTGAAGTGAGCAGTGAACTTTCGGGATGTACTCCCCATTTAATGGTCTGGATCACTTGGGGAAATCAGCACTTTAAGAGCAGTTAATCAGCTGAAAGCTGTAACGTTAAATGCTATGAATTCCAACATGCACCAGTTTCTTCCCAAAAGCAAAGGGGGTCTGACCCATGCAGGGCTCAGAGCACACCCCAGAACAGGGACAGTAACACTGCACCAGCTACATTTCCCAGCCCACTTCTGCTCCCTCTGCTAATTAGGCTGAAAATAAACCAGTTTCTTCCCAAAAGCAAAGGGGGTCTGACCCATGCAGGGCTCAGAGCACATCCCAGAACAGGGAGAGTAACACTGCACCAGCTGCATTTCCCAGCCCACTCCTGCTCCCTCTGCTAATTAGGCTGAAAATAATCAAACGAAGCTCCAATTCCAGCAGGCTTTACAAGAACATTTGCCCTTATGGCCATTTTATTTCGCTCTGTCTCTAAAGTTGTGCTTTACTAGAGCCCACAGAATGATCCTTCCTGCCTTCTACCCTAAAAAAGTGGGTCTTGACCCAGCCCATATTCACCAATGTATCGTTATTTTATAGCACAAACTTTTCTTCTTTTATCTCTCCATCAGCAGCAGTGATTCAGGGGGGAAGTGAAAGCATCCCAGCTCTTTTTAAGGAGAATACAGCTATTTTCTAGCCATTTTTTTTCCTCAATCACAGTGCTACAGTAACACAATTATCAATACTTACTGCAAGTTGAAAAAGCAATCGACAGTGCCAGTAGGGAGTCTGCTGGGAGATCTGGATGGCTTTACGTAACAGAGGTTTTGCTGTATCCACTGAATTCTGAAACAGAAACACACACCCCAGTCAACACAAAAACCAGGCCACTGGGAGCTCCAGCACAAACAATTAATAACTTTTAAACCAGTTGGATTTGGTGTCGATCCCCCGTTAAAGTCTCATAGGTCAGGAGCCTTAAAACATGAAAGAAACTCAATTATTTAACACACAGGCCCACACATCTGTGCTTGATTCAAAGTCTGTTTAAAAGTATTAAATATTTAATTCCTTTGGCCACTGTTCTGCTACACACTTTTTTCCTGCATGTAAAAGAAGAGGCAAACATTTGCTTTAGAGAAAGTAAAGCCTAGTTAAGGCTTTTCTAGAGAAAAAAATAGCCCAGGAATACAACAAAAGACTAAGGAAAACCACCTACTTCCCTCCCTCCCCCCAAATTAACTTGTCTTTGTCTAAACAAGAGCTAAAAGAAACACTGTGTCCCAATAAACTTCCTTTGCTGTGGGAGACCTGCACTGCAAAACCAGCAGCAACTTTCACATCAAGAAAAAACAAATGGTTTTTAGGGTTATGCTTCAGTAGCCTGTATTTACACTACAGCTGCTTTCTGCAAGTTTAGTAAATCTTACTATTCATAGTGATATACTGCTCTGAGACCAAAGACACTCAAATTAACTGCAGCCCCAGGACACCCCCCAGTTTCGGCACTCACCTCCTGACAATACAGCTCGGACAGAAGGCTGGCAGCCTCAAACTTAACATCTTCAAACTGGGGAATCTGGCAGCATCAGAGTTAAGTAAATAATAAACACAGTCTGGGACGCAGCAGCACCCTCACATCCCAAAAAAAAAAAAAAAAAAAAA